CACACACACACGCACGCACACACACACGCACACACACACGCACACCTGTAACTGTGAAGACATGCGAGCGCAGAACTTTGGCAACACGTCAGGCTGAAGGTCGAGTGGCAGCTGGAAAATACAGCAGACATCTTGGTGATGATGTCACAGTGCGGACTAGGGTTGGGGGGGAGGGAGGAGCCTAGCCAGGTCACATGGCATGTTTCTGGATGCCTGGGGTGAACTCCTTGGCATTGGGGTTCAAGCTGCTGGTCACCTGAAGGAGAGAAGAAGAAAAACCGTCATTGTTATTTCTGTGAAGAAAATAAAGAAACAGCGACCTCTGCTGGACAGATGAGGGCCAACAGTCAGAGACTAATTTAATAATCAACTAATTGGGAAGAAAAAAAACCTGAGAAACCAATCAGTGTGGAGATATTATCAGACACGTTCAGGCACTGTGCTGTGTCTCACTCAGCAGCTCTTTCTGTATTATTGATTTCATCCTTTTTTATTGCACTATTTTACACATTGTTGTATCATATTCAGCTTTACACGTTTCATTCAGATTAAACGTGTTTCAGTGTTTCAGATTTTTACTGAATTAAAGGTCCTTTGTCTTTTTCCATTTGGCTATACTAATTATTTGTGTAGTTTTTATTCTATTTTTCAAACTTTATTTTATTTTATTAGTGGTTGTTTTTAATGTTTTGGCTTTGGAGTATATTTGCTGTAATCCTACATTTTTTTTTATAATGTGTTGGAATAATGTCAGCTGACAGGACGCCATCTTCTGGTGTCCTTTTATTCTTATGGCCAAAACACGAGTTTTCTCTGTAACCAATGGTAAAGGTGATAAACTTACCACCACATCCAGGTCTTTGTCGCCATCGAGGACCAGGAGGCTGATCTGCTCTTGCAGCTGGCTGACGCTTTGAGAAGGGAGATCTCTGGACGGGATGAACCACTCCCACTCCTCCTCCTCATCCAGCATCTCCTGGAAACAGCGCTCGATGAACTCCTCCTCCCACAGCTCCTCCTCCACCTGCCGAAAACACAGGCAGAGAAGCAGCAGTCACACTTTTGTTGGACCAACAAAGAACCAAAACTTTTAACATGTCGTCCAACCTGAGAGCGAACATCACACAGATAACACTTTAAGGAGAGATGCTACAATGTTCTTCGGGTGAATCTGCTCTGCACCCCCTTCTACTAATCCAGTTATCCTTGTTTCCTTCTCTGCCTAAGATGATGCTGGTTAGCAGCTCAATAAGTAAGCCCAGGCTTTCCTAATCTAGCAATGAGCGTGTTCACATGTCAGAGGCGGGGTTTGCAGCACCTGACCAATCACAACGAGACGACTACTCGAAACAGAGCGGCTGATTTTACAAATATAAATCGGAAACATTGAAAGAGTTTAACACAGAACAGAGTTAAAGTAACACAGCAGCTGCAGTCCTCCTTCCTTTGTGAAACGTAACGCTCTCTAAAACACAGCTCCACAGACTGTTTCCTTTTTCCAAACAAAACATCCTTATGGAAATTTCCAACCGGACGCCTCCCACCTACTCCTCTGTTAACCGACTCCACACGCTGTCAGCTGATTGCATAATCAGGCCACTGCCTGACCTGAATTCCAGCTCAAGGAGCCACTGCTTTGTGGTGCACACAGGCTTCAGCTGCTCAGTGTAATTTTCCTTGAAACTGTAAATTTCCACCTTAAAATCACAGCTACTTTTAAGAATGCACAATTTCTAAATGTTAACCTTCCTTTAACCTGTAAACAAACCCCTAGATTTCCACCTTAAAAACGTGACTCTGTAGGCAATGACCTTTGTTTTCAGTTGAACAACACAAGTGTTGGAAATATTGTATTTAATCATACTTTCACCTTAAAGTGCACATTTTTTGCTGTTAAAAATCACAATTTTTGACAAACAGATTTCCACCTTAAAAACCAAAATCAGCTGAGTTTGTACGTAAACATACAAAGTTTCTTTTTATCTTCAACTTAGAAGTCCAGATTTTTACCTTAAGATTTGTCATCTGTATATACAAGATGTACAACAGCACAATTTCTGGATTTAGCCTGTAAAGATAATTACAGATATCCACTTTAAAAAGTCACCCATCATGCTTTTGGATACTTTCCCTGCCTTCAAATCAAATCAACCTAATTTCACTTTATCTCTCTTAATCTCAATAAACTACAATTTAAGATTCACATTACCACCTTAAAAATGAATATGTTTCTAGATACTTCTCAAATAAACAAGTCCAAGTTAAGGCTATTTTTTCTTGTAACATAAACCCCAGATTTGCACTTTAAAAGTCTATCTATGGAAACTGATCTTCCAAGCAAGAATTATACTGCAACACTATGACTAAAACAACAAAATTCTGACATGTAGTTTCCCTTAAACCTCCAATTCCAACCAGGAAAGTCTGTCTGCAGAAATCTACACCATAACATACTGCTTTATCCGCATATGGGAGCTTCACATCAGAGCAACGTGAGTGTAATCTATAAAAAAAAGAACAGATTTCCTCCTTAGAAGTTGACTGAGTCTGTTTGAAAATACTGATCTTTGCTTACAACTAAAAACAACCGTTTAGGTACAACTTATCTTAATCTGCAGATTTCCACCTTAGAAACAGAGCTCACTGAGCTCATATAAAAATGAACAAATCTGCAACTTCATGTGTTTATTCCCACCTTAAAAATTAATCTTGGAGTGTTTTTCAGATGCCTTGTCTGTCTCCCAAAATAAATCACCCTCAAGTCAAACCTTAAAGCAGTCAGAGGAGATGTGCAGATGCTGATCTTTCATTTTAAGTAGACGAATACAGACTTGAGGTGTAATCTGTCTGGAAAATGACAGATTTCGATCTTAAAGGAGAAAGCTATATTTGTCTGCATACACAAGTTTTAGAGAACAATTTCTGGGTGTAAGGTGAAAAACAGATTTCCACCTTAAAAGTTATCTGAGTCCACCTTACATTGGACATAATGTATCTATAAAACAATAGTTAATAAAAAGATAATTAGTCTGTAATCTCAGGCAATAATTACTCTTTCAACATATTATTCAAACATTAGATTTCCACCTTAATAGTCAACTGAGTCTTTCTGTAGCTACTGATTTGAGGTATAACTTCTCTTTAAATGTGTTCTACCTGAAAAGATCAACCTGCTTTGTTTTGGATCACTTTTCCTCCTCCATAATAAACTTAATTTCAGACTCTTTAACCATTTTTCCGCCCTAAACGCAGATTTTTTCACTTGCAGTCCAGGTCATCCTCGTCCCAGCTCCTCACCTGCCTGTTGAACTCCTCCTCGTTCTCCATCCACATATACTCGGCGAACGGGTCGTCCTCGGCGTTGAACTGGCTGGTGAGGATCAACTCGGTGCCGGTGGTCATGTTCGGGCCCCCGCTGCTGATGCTCGGGTCTTTCATGTCTACAAGGAGAACCAGAGGACACAGTGAGGGAGAGGGACAGGGGTCAGCGGGAACAAACACGTAGCTTCGGCCGTTATAATGCTCGCTGTCATGGCCGCTGTCTGACGGACAACAATAGCAAGCAGCTAGCGAATAATTTTTTGGCGAGAACACAACAGAAACAGAAAAATATCACCGCGAAAACACCACCGCGAGCACCCAGCCGCGTTAGAGGAGCACGGGGGGACGGGCATCTGTGTTCTTATGAAGTACAATACCTTCGGGGGTGATTTATTCGACGACAGAGAAGACAAACGGTCAACTCGCTGGAACTCGGTTGTTGCTGTAATGGCCGCGCTGCTTCTGTTTGTTTACATCTCCACCGTAACCGTCACCGTGCGCTCGCTCCTCATTGGTCGTTGACGTGTTGCCTTCACGGGCCTCGTGGTTTAACATCGGAAAATAGGAATCTAACAAGAGGACCACATAAGGTAAACGTTATTTATACCAGAGGTTAAGAATCTCCTCTGGGTCTCTGTTTCATTTTTTTATTCATTCACTAAATATCACAGTTGGGTACAGAACTTTATGTCTGGATACACATTATAATTGACGCTACACTTTAGCTTGTTATTTTTTTATATTTAGTCATCAATGTAAGTAGATCACTGGACATCATGAATAAATATCAGCTTAGGTATTTCTCTAAATTGATGTAGCTACAGTTTCCATTCGAGAGAACAGTCATGGGTCTCTGTTGATTATTATGTTTACAGATGACATTGTGAACTGCAGTGAGAGCAGAGAGCAGGTGGAGGAGAGGTAGTCTCTGGAGAGAAGAGAAGTAAAAGTCAGTAGAAGCAAGACAGAATACATGCATGTAAATGAGAAGGAAACAGGTGAAAAGGTGTACATGAAAAGAGCTCAGGTTGAAGGTTGATGAGTTTAATTAATTGGAGTCAACAATCTAAAGCAATAAACATTGCACAAGGGGAAGAAGAGCATGCACACTGGGTGAGGTGGAGTGGTTGGAGACGAGTGTTGCAGTGACCCATAAGGGGAGTAGCCAAAGTATAAAGGTTCAGTAGGTGTAGGTGTTGTGATTCTTTCAGTGTTGTCTGGATTAAAAAGCAAACAGTGAGCTAACTATTTTGTGTGGGTTTACAAGTAGAGTAAAATGTTTGTAGATCTTTTACACAACTATAATCTGCCGAGGATAAGAAAGTCCATGTTTGAGCAGTCCTTGTGTAGTTGTTTTTTTTATCTGGACATCCACTCACACCCAGCATATTTGTTTGTTTTGTAATTTGATCTAATTCTTTCAATTTGAGAAGGGCTTTCATCACGTTAGGTGCTGGCACCTTTTCTGACCTTGAATGCAGCACTGTAGTCCAAACTGTAGTCCAAACTCTGAAAGCCCGCCTTCCTCCGAAAGTTTATAAAATCCACTGATTTAACAAGCCTAAACCCATTTTTTAAACCAAATACATATCCTCTATAGTGATAAGAGAACCTGAGAGAAATTATTAATATAGAGGGGCTAAGTGTGTGTTGTGTTAATAGCTATTTTCATAGAAAACGTTTAAGCAGCGAACAGAAACAAAAACACCGCCTGATCCAGGAGGAGAGGAAATATCGCGATACTTCACATGCTCTAGTTTGGTCACCCGTCTCGTGCTATTTACTAATCAGCTGCGATCGGGTGTTGGAGAAAGGGTAAGAGTGTCCGTAATTACAGATAAATCATATTATACACGTAAATGCACAGTTAACAGCTTCATCCACAGTTTGCACGTTAAATATCAGATAACTTAAGGCTGTTAGCTATGCCAGTGTTAGCAGGTAGGAGGACATGTATGTTAGCAAAGTTAGCTGCGCAGCTTATCTGAGTCGTTTTTGGTTTCATTTTTCTCATTAATGACAGCGTACTTAATCTTTTAGTTAACATGTCAGGTTAAACAACGTAGACATCATAGCGCTGTTAGCTTAACTGTTAGCTCGACCCGTAAAGCGTGTTTGGTACAGCTTTCCTTCTCCTCTCACTGTACCTGCAAAGATGTTACTCCTGGTCTGTGTCAGGCTGTGATTCACTCAGAGGCTCGTTGTAATCTCGCAATCTTATTGATGTTTCCATGGACTCAGAGTTTCTCTTCCTCAGTGAGGCGGTCTCCATCACTCTGTTTGCATCAGGTCATGTTCCTCCTGCTGGGCTGAGGTGAATCTTTCTCTCTCTCCTCCTTTAACCGCCTCCTATGTTCCCTTTGCAGTAAAGATCAGAGTCGTGCTCCTCCGTCTGTTGCTCAGGGCCTCCACTGGCTCCTGTTTTCTTAGGAGAGGCTTTGTTTGAAGCTTTTTCTACCTCATTGTGTCTCAGCAGAAATAAGGCTTGCCACCACAGAAGAAAAGGAGCTCCTGCTCTCTTTGACCACATTAAGTTCCTGTCATCTTTGAAGACCTTTTCCAGCGCCTGTTTCCTTCTTTATCTTGGCTCTCTGTGCTGAATCCAGAGAGCGGGGCAGACTTTTTGATATCATGTCTCAGAAGACGCAGGCTGACGGCGCTCAGAAACACTTCGCTGTGGGTCGGGGGCTCCTGGCCGCTGCAGAAACCTTGAACTTCAACATGAACGAGCAGCGTCCCAACAGACCAATGGGGGTGGGTGTGGGCATGGGCATGGGCATGGAGGGCCAGGACGGCAGCGGGCAGATGCCCCGACGTGGCAGCGGCGGTGGCGGCAGCACCAGCAATCTTGGCAGCACCATGAAGCTGTTTGCCAGTTTGGGGCTGTCGCCCTCTGACCTGGACGCTCTGGCTGAAATCCCTGAGGAGGAGATCAGTGTGGAGACGCTGCCACACATCCTCAGACAGCTGAAGAGTCGCAAGGGGGAAGCAGGAGAGCGGCGGGCGGCCATGTCCTCTGATGCTGCGTATCGAGGAGGAAGCTGGGAAGAGGGGCATGTGGGGAGGATGGGTGGTTCTTCTCTGGGACAAGGTTCAGCCAAGTCCTCCACAGACTTTGGGTACAGCTCCCTGCAGGACGTCTCCTCCGGCCGGGGCTATGGCTTAAATTACAGCGGTGGAGGTGGGAGCAGAGAGAGGCCATACTCTGAGCTTTCCCACCGCAGTGGGCTCGGCATGGGCCCGTCTGAGCCCGTCTTTATGCAGAGGAGGATGGGCTCCCCGTCAAACGGAAAAGTCCAAGACTTCTTGGGAGTCATGCCCCCCATGTTCCCCCACGTGTGCTCTCTTTGTGACTTTGACGTTCATTCCACCATGGTGAGTACGTCCAACCTGCTTCCTCTTTTCTTCTCGGACTAACTGTAATTGTTTGAGCTCCAGTCTTCCTTCAGTCAGTGACAGGCGCTGATTCAGGTCCGGTTTACTTCATATAATTTCCTTGTTGTATCTCCTCACAGCATGTTGCCTGTCTCCATTTTCTCAGCTGAAGCTCTCCAGCATTGAACAGTTAGATTTGGATCTTTCCAGCGGTCATCCAATTAAACCAAAAATCTCTTTTTATAATTAGTATCTGTTCACATGAGCTGGTAAAGCTGTTCATGTTACACATTCAGTCTGATATACTTGATCTTTTCACTTTTCACACTCACACATTCATGGACTTATCGAATTGGCGGCTTTTAAACCTGTGAGACTTTTGGCAGCTGGGGTCTTGTGTTTGTTTTTCTTTAGTTTGTGGTGTCAGGAGTGAGAAAGAAGGATTTAATCGATTATCACTCGAATTTGGAAATTTAAATTCTCTCTGAGAAGAAATGTACACTTTTTGGCTTTAAAGCAACCATTTTTAACATGGTTCTTTTCAATGCTGACAAAAACATAATTTACCAAAAATCAACAGGAAGTTAGTAATCTACTGACCAAAGTCACACAGTGAGCAGGTTTGAAGATATGCGGGTGAGCTCTTCTTGCCTGTATGACTGTCACTGATGGCTTAAGAAAGCATCAAATACTGTCTGTTATAGTGATTATTGCACACAAAATATAATGAATTATTCGTTTTTGTAGGTCTTAAAAAGATCTTAATAATGAATTTTTGGTTTTAAAATGGAAACCTGATGAAGTGCATTTAAATTCTTAGTAAATCTGGTCCTAAGTGATTGTCTGGGTGACGCTATGAAGGTTAATAACTGTGTGAACTGTTCCTTTAATATACAGGTTGTATTTTAGGAGAAACGGCCTGTTGAGTGTCAGTAATGCTCTGTTTGTGTTTGTAGGAGTGGAACCAACACGTTAATGGACTCCGCCATGCTGAAAACAGACGGCAGCTTCTTGACATGTGAGTTGCTCTTAATACACAACAGTGAGCCAAAACAGATTAAGTTATGAATCTGTTAACAGCATGTTCACATCAGAAGAAATTAGGTTGGTTTTTAGAGTTTCAGTACCCAAACCAACGCAAACGTGCTCCTGTGCAGCCCTCCAAAATCCCAGCGCTGGACGGGGATGACTCTGGCGTTAGTCAGATTAGTTTATGACGTACCTGGTAAGAAGTAAACCGACCTTTGTAGTACAGAAAATTTAAGGTTAACTCTGAAGTTACACGAATGAGATGAAATCCTGTTCCGTAGTACCGATCTCTGTTTGACCTCAGCAGGAGGTTGTAATGTTTCAGCTCATCGTTGTTGACTCTATGTTCCTTTGAGGTCTGTTCCTCTTTATCAGATGTGTAACACTGAATGTTGTTTTTCAGGTATCCAGAGTGGGACCCTGGTATGGGCCCAGGCAGAGGGTAAGAGATGCTAACATTAAGCTCCTCCTTTAGTGTTTGAGATGTTAGATTTAGAGTCCTAAAGGACCTTGACCTAACCTCGGAAAAGTGTTATTACTGACAGCCGTGCCCAAACAGATTGTCCTGCACTGATTTGTCTTTCTGTTGTTTGCATTGTATGTCATGTATGGTCCACAGCAGCAGAGAGAGCAGCAAGCATACTGTACACCTGACAGGCAACTTCCTGTTTGGTCAGATGGGCTTCCTTAGATTAGATAAAGATTCAGAAACTCTCCTGCCTCCAGAGGGTTCACACACTGTCTCTGTGGCCTGGTGTTAACAAAGCTTTGTGTTGTGTGTTAATAATCCAGGTGTCTGATAACTGACGATCTCATGTTTTTAATTCCAGTGGTCGTCCCTGGGAGACCCCCAACCTGTCTGCAGGACTACTGGGACCAGCCCCCATGTCTTCAGGACCAATGGCAGGGATGTCCTCGAGCTGGGGTGGAGGTGTGGGACCCACAGATGTCTTATTTTATCCCTATTAATACTATTAGTATTATTTTAAGTCATTTGTCACTTTCTCTCTGTGCGGGGAGTCACTATTTTATTCATAAAGATGGTTTCAGACAGCTGACGTCAAGTCTTTAACTTCCAACTGATCAAGTCTGGTTCTCCTGTGAGCTCAGTGTTACATTTATGTGCCACGCTTGCTGACTTTGGGATAAAAATGGTTAAAAAGCTCAGGTACAGTAAATACAGAGAGCCATTAAAAAGAGTGGGTGAGGGTTAAGAGACCCGGCTGTTTAGTGCCCTCAGAAAGCTGCAGACACTTTTTGAAATCTGTCTTTGCTCATGTGCGAACATCGGTGTGTTTGTGTGTCAGGAGTAGGTGGAGGACGTGGTTCCGGTCCATTGGGACAGAACAAGGTGAGTCTGACCTCCTCTGTCTCTCTGCTGTGTCTTCCTGTGGATCAGCTCATTTCTGCAGAGCTCAGCTGGTTTCAGTAAAGACTGTGTGTCGTGTCCTCAGCTGAGGAGCAGGGTGGTGGTGGTGAAATATGAAAAGAAGCCTCTCAGCGACAAGACCCTGTTCGCCCTCGTTGAGCGCTTCGGCTGCCTGAGGGAGCATCTCATCCTCAAGAACAAGGTAGGAAAACTCACCTTGCTGTTTCCACCTCAGTTACTTCTAACTTAGATGTAGACATTAGTTAAACTTTCTTCTTCATAAATGTAACTGAACAATACAATCAGCTGCCTCACACTCTTTCATCCTGCACATGAACTTCATCTCCTCAATCTGAAACTGCAGCTGGTAGTCCTCATTCTCCTTCGCAGCCTCGCTGAGCTGAACCCACTCACAGAGGATCTCCACACCAGGAGGAGGACTGCTGGCACCAGCTGCAGTCCAAGATGGTAGAAATGGAGTCAGACTGAGCTTGTGATAAGAGACTATAGATATCTGGGGATTAAAGAAGTCTAAATATAATCCAGTAATAACAACATTAAATATGTGGTTGTGAAACTTAAAGCAAACCTCTCTGAGGAAAACTGAATTTCAGCATTGAAGTCTAATCTTTGTGACCATCAGGCTTTTCTGGAGATGAGCACACATGAAGAAGCTCTGGATGTGGTAAACTACTACCAGCAGCATCCACCGTTGTCGTACGGCAAACCCGTCACCCTGTACCTGTCCCAGACCCTCATGTTCATTGAGGTAACATCCCCTCGCTTGCTAAATAAAACTCACCGCTTCCCCACAGACTCAGATCCTCAGAAGTTTCTGTTTCTAACCTGCAGAAGGACGAGCGACCAATGGATCGACTGATGGACCGACTGACAAAGCGGCCGGTAGACCGACCAAGGGACCAACCGATGACCCGGCGGGTGGAGCGGCCGATAGACAAACCTGAGAAAGAGGTCAAAAGTCAAGGCAGCAAGGTGGTCTTCTTCTACCATCTGCCCCGAGAGGACGAGAAGAAACAGGAGCTGCTGACCCTCGCCGAACGCTTCGGTGTGGTTGAGAAACACCTCTTCTTAACCGACCGGGTAAATAAACCAGAGCAGGAAACTCCAAAAGTTGATTTTGTTCATCTGGACGTAGCGAGAGAAACATTTCGTCACTCATCCAAGTGACTTCTTCAGTCTCAGCTGACTGCAGGTTTCCCCAGCCTTATAAACAGCCTTATACATCAGGGGAACCAAACAACCTCTGGCGAAGTGGATGGCACATTACAGAAGAGCTACCTCGTCAGGCCAGGACTCTGCAGTCTATTTACACCTACAGGCCATTGGACACTCTTTCAATGATGAGGATGTACACATCCTGGACAGGGAGGAACGCTGGTTTGAGCGTGGAGTCAAGGAGGCCATTTATGTGAAAAGGGAAAAACCATCTCTGAATCGAGGAGGGGGCCTAAGGGTACATCTTTCGCCATCTTACAATGCTGTGATTGCAGCCATTCCCCAACTCTCTGTGAATGGTACTCATGGCCATTGATCAGTGAGCTTTGGTCAGTGGTTGTAGATCAATGGTCATGAGAATTTGCATAATTAAGATTAAGGAACTGACCTCCCAGCCCATTGTTCCTTAAGTGGGCTGGTTTCAGTCATTATGCAAATGTACTGTTTATAAGATTGGGGAAACCTGCAGTCAGCTGAGACTGAAGAAGTCACTTAGATGAGTGACGAAACGTTTCTCCCACAAAACGCTACGTCCAGATGAACAGAATCAACTTTTGGAGATTTACTTACCTGGATGATTGACTATCATCAAGACAGAGCAAGAAACACTGCTACTCTTTGAGTGCTCATGTGATGCCAGCATTACTACAGAAAGTGTGGAGATCAGATTTGGCTGAGTATAGTCTGTGATAAGGTGAAATAAGTTTGAATGATGGCTGCTTTTGTGTTCGTCTGTGTGTCCAGGCGTTTATTCAGCTGGCAACTGTGGAGGACGCAGAGATGCTGGTGAAGCATTACACCGAGAACCCCCTCGTCTTCAATGGGAGAATAGTTCGTCTCAACATCTGCACCAAATACAAAACCCTCAAGTGAGTGCCCGGCTTCAGACACTGCTACCATGACATGGTGTAGGAACTGTAAACACATACATGAATGAAATGCAGTGAAAGGGACAGATACACCCTTTGACTGGAGGTTGTGGGAAATAAATGACATAAAAGACAGTTACCTGACCAGAACTCTCCTTTCTGCCGATGTGCAGAACCATAACTATGTATCTAATCCATGAGATATTTTAATATAAGAAAAATGGACGGGTATGGGGAGCATCTGTATCAGTAGTTAAAGCTGCAAAACTTATGAAAAGACACTTAAAGATCTTCCTCCAGATGTTCCAAAGCCATCCAGTGGGCCAGATTGGAGTGTTTGCCAGGCTGATTCTGGCCCCCAGGCCATATGTTTGACACCCCTGCTCTAAATTGTGGTGATACGAGCTGTGAAAATGTACCCAGAATGCATTTTTTCAAGTTCTGTCAAGTCAATTATAAGAAAACATGCAGAGTACCAATGGTTGTTCCTGTTCCTCTGTGTCACAGACTTTAAACTGGTGCAGCACAGCTGATCCATGATATTTCAGCTTTCGTAGATCATAGCAGACGTCATGTTGAAAACAGCAAGGTGTCAGCAGAAGTAGCTCCAGATTAGCCAGTGAGCAAACCCGACTCTTTATTAAAAGTTAGAAATTGAACATCATCTCTGACCTCGTTATGAGAGGTGGTGTTAGCTGGCTAACTGCTAACACAGTGTATATATGTCAGGATACACATGGAAGCTTAAACTCATACACACTCGTTCATACAGTGTGAAGCACAAACAGGGCGGAGGAGACAGTTCGAGCCAGAAGAATGGCAGAGCCGAGTCCTCCAACTCCAAAACCTCCTCATCCAGGTCCAGGAGCAGACAGGAAAATAAGGAAGAGAAGGACAAAGTGAAGATGGTAACAGAGGAGGAGGACGAGGAAGTGTCAGGAGTGATGGAAGGAAGGGAGGACGGAGAAGAGCAGCAGGCACCTGATGGCGAGGAGGAGGAGGAGCAGGCACCTGATGGCGAGGAGAAGCAGGAGCAGGTACCTGATGACAAGGAGAAGCAGGAGCAGGTACCTGATGGCAAGGAGAAGGAGGATCAGGTACCTGATGGCAAGGAGAAGGAGGATCAGGTACCTGATGGCAAGGAGAAGGAGGATCAGGT